GGGGTGAGCCGCTGTGGCGACAACATCGTCGACAACGACCTCCAAAACGGCTCCCTCATTCTAGAGCTGCACATCGATGGCGGCGTTGCGGCCTCTCACGGTTCTGCAGACCGCCCTACCTCAGCACCCCCTTCGTCTGGGGCGTTGTATTGGTCGCCAAAGGTGGTACTTGACGACCATATATGGGGTCTGCTCATGGCGTGCTTTAGGAGCCGAGATGAGCAACTGTCATTCAGCGAGGCGATCCACCACTCCTACGGCGATGACGACGTCGTGGACCACTTTGGCTCCGATTTCCAGGCTAGAGCGATTTTTTGTCGATTCCACGCAGGCATTTCCGCGGATGGACTCACGTTGATCCTCCCAACACACAGCAATCACAGCGTTTTCCAATCCCCTTGCGAGGTTGTCTTCACTCCGCATCCTTTTTTGTTCACGCCGCACCGCCGCGAGCCTCCACAAAGCCCCTGTGGAGGTGCTACGAGGGTCCGCGACGGAGCGGAGGTATCCTTCCTGTTGAAAAAACCCACTGACAACCGTTTCATCGTGGCAGTCGAGGAAGCTGACGCCGGGGGCCCTCACTGCCACTACTCGCCCTGCACATCCAGCAGCATTCCCTCGATCTGCGCCGCGGAAGAGCACACGGTGCAGCGTCCGATCACGGTGAGATGCACCACCGCCAGCACAACGCTGAAGCAGATGAGGGAGGATGCCCAGGCAAATACCGCGGTGGAGATCTGCTACGCTTCGCCCGGAAGCACCCTCGCGGCGCACGGCAAGGGGGTGGGGTCCTGCCCGACGTGTTGGTCGCTCACCATGGACGACTACACCGTCGACCCTACGAGCTACTCCATCACCATCGCCTACATCCAGATACGCGATAATCTGCTCTTTGCGATTAAGCCGACGGGTGTGCTGCCCATGGGCGCAACCGGAGGGGGGGTTGGCGGCGGGAATCACTCGAAAGGCCTGGATGCGGTCGATCTTTCGGTGGCAGCTTCGACCGACGAGCTGGACGCCTACCACGCGACCGCGGGCAGCACCACCGCTACTACCTCGTCAGTTCTTCCCCAGGCCATCGAGAATATTACCACGGCCGCTGTTATGCGTCGCCGCTGGTTCTTCGCGCACCCCTCCGCGAATCTCGAGCCACCCTCCGTGGCTTCGTGGACGCAGCTCTGCTCCTGCGCGGTTCTGCCACTCTACGGCGTGAAGTCGGTCTACCCACGCGACGCCTTCTACACCGTGAGCCCGCATCAGTACACGGTGGATCACGGCCGGGGTGGCAACCGCGGCGACGTCTTGGAGTTCATCCTCCAGCGTCTTCAGCAGCAGTACCAGATCGTCCTGGAGAGTGGCCAGCAGGCGGGCGCCCCGCTGCAGTGCTGCATCCCCCACACGTCGCTGTTGCCGAACACGGGGTTCGAGCTCTCGGTTGGGCACCAAACGCACACTCTGAAGGTGGGCGAGACGGCGAGCAGCCTGTCCGTGAGCCGCATGCTGCATCGTGGGATGTACCGGAATGGGCAGGTCAGCCGCGTCCTCTCCTACCGCTACGCGCTGTGGAATTACCTCGACGACCGGTTCGATCAGCGAGAGGCCCACATGGGCATCCAAATCGGCGAGAAGAATGACTACGGCTGGGAGGTGCTGGATCTGTGGGTGCAGGCCCGGCTCAGGGGCCCCATTCCGCGGAGCCTGGACATTTGGCTCCGGCCGCGGGAGATCGCGGTCGCATTGGTCCCGGAGAACCCGGCGAAGCCGCCGTCGTTTGAGGAGTTCCTGCAGCTTATCACCTACCGCGCAAGTGTCCACCTGCGGCCGCGCAATGGGATGGAGTGGCGTCTCGATACGACGCCGCTCTCCGTTGAGGTGCCGTCGTCGTCGTCGCCACCCTTGCCGATGGAGACGGTGGTGCTCGTGCAGGACCACACCCACACGCTGGACACTCGTAGCATTGTGGACGCCAGCACCGGCCGGACTGTCGTGCTCGAGAAGGCCATCAACGACCGCACGATGGGGGTGGATGTGATCCTATCGCCGAATTACAACCCGAACTGTATGTACCTGCTCAAATTAACGTGGCTAGCGTGCGCGGGATCGATCGTGTTGGATTGGTACTGCTCCTTTGTAGCCAACGCCATGCGGCACCGGTTTCGAGGGGTCCCCCTCCCTTGCTATTATCATAACCCTAAGAAAGAGTTGCTCACTGTGCACACGAGTGTGAGGGCGGGCGCCACGGAGGAGGAGTCCCTCCTGCGGCACCTTTTCCTCTTGCTCACGCAGCCGAAGTATCGGTACTATCCGGATACCCCCGTGATGGGCCGCTGCTGCCGTCTCCTCCACGCCAGCGGGCTTTGCTACGTCGTCGCCCCCCCTGGCGGCGGTGCGGTGATGGAGTGGTACCAGAACGCCTGCGTGCAGCAGGGCTCGCCGCTGCAAAGGGAACTTCACCAGCAATTCCTTGAGGCCGTCGAGACCGCGCGGGGCGAGGTGCGGCGTACGTCGGGGTTGGTTCAAGGGGGTGGTGAGCGATAACCCCACGCACAAGAGTCCTGAGCCCTTGGTGGTTTCCGAAGTGGACGCATATAAATGTGTCCACAGAGGTATTTTTTTTTTGGTTAATGGTCGGGAGGGGGAGGTTCAGCGAGACGGCTTTGCCATCCATTTAAAAAAAATAATCCGCCCGCTCGTGTGTCTGAGAGGATACATTGTTGTTGTCATTTATTGTATGGCTAGTTTTCATGTGGGGAATAAATACAATGCTACCGTTCGCGATTTTATTTTGCTTATCCTTTTGGCCTATCATATTTTGTTTCTACTTTGCTCGTTCAGTTTTTTTTTTAGTGTTGTTGATGCCTAACTTACTTTCTCTCCTTTTTTTCCTTGTTTGACCTCGTTTTTGTCCTTTCTTCCTCTTCAAAGAGTAGAGGAAAAAAAGATTGAAGCGAATTTATAGAATCACGTACGCAAACACACAAACACACATACACAGAGGACGCCGATCACATCTCGGCATTTAGAAGTGTACCTTTTCGCATCATAAAGGAGAGACTTACTTCACACGCTCCAGCGAGTCTACTCAAGGGAAAGGATGGTGTTCGAGGGTGCGGAGTATCTGCCCTTAGTGGGCAAGACCTTATCCACTGCGGAGAAGACGACCCTGCAGTGTTCGATTCCCCTTCTTTCCAGTCATTATCACTGTCCCGCCACTTTCTGGGGAAAGGTTACGGGATATAGGGGCGACTACCTCATAGCACAGGTGTCGCCAAACGGGTTCTTTGGTCCTCGTGTCAGCTTCTTCAGCATCAATGGGGGTGCCACATGGACACTTTTAGAGGATGTCGAGGAGCGGCAGGCGAAGTTTTGTGAGCAAATTCGTGGTGTTTATCAAGGCAACCCGGACTACGCCTATAAAATACGACATGACATCCCGCCTGAATCAGAACCCGAGGTGGAGATTCCCCCCCTAGACGATGATTTGAACCAAGCGAAGGATGCATTGGAGAGTGCAGCAAAGCAGGCGGCCTCTGAGGACGGTGGTGAAACCGACGAGGAAGATGAGATGGAGGAAGAAGAAGGGGACGAGGAGGAGGAGAGAGAACCCACGCCACCACGTCGTCGTGTCAATAAGCCCAAGTTTATGATTGTTGCGATTAAAGAATCGACTCGGTTGGCGCACTTCATTCAGCTGCACGATGCTGCGTGCCGGTTGGTGGTGCGCGGGGAGTACGTTCTGCGTGGGGATGCCGTCGGCGAGCGTAATCAAAACTTCTCCGGCCACCACCTCCTTCACGCGTTAAAACCGTCGTGCTACCTTAAGGCGCACGCGCGTGGCTGCCCGGAGCGCAACGCGGTTCTCTATGGGTCGACGTACAACGCGCACACCGACTACCTCCTCCCAATTACGGAGGATATGCCGCAAGGGGTGTGGACCGTCAAGCATGACACGACGATGAATCTCGTCGTGGTGGAAAACCTCTTTTTCGATGGTAGCTTGTTCTGGTATAAACCGGGGACGCTGGAGCGCGGGCAGGTGTACTATGGGAGTGGCGAGAGAAACTTTGAGTTGTGCTTGCAGTTCTAAAACTCACGTGGTGGGGATAGAATATGCAGTTAGAATGGAGCTCGTGGGTATCGTTATTTCGATATACATGTCTGTTCTTTATTTTAGAACAATGTAAATTTTCCATAAGACGGCAATAGCTGTTTTTTTTCTTCCTGCAAGATGCTTATGTTTGATAGGAGGGGAAGAAAATCCAATACAAGCGAAGGACATGGTGAAAATACTGGTTCTTAGCCTGAATTTCATAGAGTGACGTCACAATGGACATGACGGCCTCCCAGTACTGAGCGAAGATGCGGAGTGAATGCGTACACTTTAGTACTGTCAACGGGTTATGTCTTCTTTGATTCCTTTGTATTCTTATATATTACACGCCTTTTTACTCATGTTAATACCTTTTTAGGAAGTATTAACACAATCATACATGAATAAAACTTTATACCGTAAGTGAGCAAAGCCCATCAACAATATATTCACCAACAAGACCAAAATATAGCATAAAAAAAATAAGGGGTCAAGGGACCGCAACTCTTCAGTAGCTGGAGACACAAATAACAACAGAATAAAACATAGCGAATTCTGATTGTTCTTGTTTTTTTTTTCGAAAGGGTATTTTGTTTTTGAATCTTTGGAATTAAGCGAATAAACGTACCTCAAAACAGATCTCTTTGCCCTATAAGAGGCGGGAATTGGAATCGTAGCCTGGAAAATTTATTTTTGGTCGTCTTTTTCCAAGAGTATTGATCGATTCTTAGTTTTCCTCTCTCTAAGCTCAAGCGTTTCATAGAGTGGATAATTTTGGCTCCCTTTCTTTTACCGGATCAATTCCATTCTCATCCTAATAATAATAAAAAAATAAAAGGAACTTTTGCATTGTAGCTTATTTTTCTAGTCTCATTTCCGTAGAAGATTCATATTTGCTACAATTTCTTAATCCCCTTCTCCCCTTTCGAAAAAAAAAGGAGGCTAACTTTGTTTAAGAAATTCAGAGCATGAATATTCTCAAGACATTCGAGGAGGATCTCCATACAAGCACTTACTCATCGTCAGGTGAGGAACCAAACGACGCCAAAAACTTTTGCACTCCTCAGAACGAACAGCTCCTTGGGGAGATCTTCCATTGTTTACCACCCCAGCTTCGGGGATTAATTAATGAGGGGGACCGTCAGCGAATAAAGGAGTTGGTGACTTGTATCGTTGAGCTCGGCGATCCTGCCACCTGCCGCAACCGCGTCGCCGCTTTCGAGCGGTTTAAGAATGAGTGGGATGGCACTCAGGAGGGTAGTCATGAGCTGGATGTCGTCCGCCCGGCATTATTTCTCGAAGCGCCGTCGCTTTTTCTGTCTATCGATGATATCATGCGAGCCTATCGTGTGGGGGGAGTCCCTTACGGGTGTCCGCTGCACTCCGCCGCCGTAGGGGAGGAGGCGCCAGGCTCGAAAGGCTCCATCTCCTGCACTTGGTCGGGAGTGATGGAACGGCTCATGAACTACTGCGATGCACTCAGGAAAATCCTCACTGCCGACGAGGGGTACAGAATTCCAAAGAGCCTCCAGCAGCAGGCGGTGCCCGCCCTTTACGCGTGGCTCACAGACTACGACTTCTTGCTTGACAACGTGACGTATTGGTTGACGGTTGCGAATTTGATGATCAAGATCGGTCGCCCCCATTACGGGCTTTATGTTGTTCTCCCGTGGCGTCCGCTTGCCGCACTTTTCATTAACTTAGTGAACGAACGAGAGCCTTCAAAAATGTGTGGGCGATTTGGCGCCATTATGCGCACTGCTGGCAGTGTGTTGCCGCGGCTGTGTGAGATCGCGTCGATGTATTTCGATTCCAACGCTCTGGAGGAGATGTGGCTCGAGTTCTCCCCAAAGTTCACTGCAAACGGGGATGAAAGTCATATTTACCTTTTCCTGCTATGCAGTCTGCTGCCAGTGCGTCAGCTGCGAAGCGATACTAGCACGGGCAGCTACGTGAGCCCACTTGTTAAGCGTATTGTGCATTTTTTGTTGCGTGAGGCGTACGACTGGCAGCTTCAGCAACGCGAGGCGTGGTTGATTATCACGTTCAAGATTTTGTCCCGCATGTTTGGCATGAACGAGGGATTGGTGAGCCTTGATGATTATTCAGAGCCTCTTTTTAGCAGCATTTTGCACCTTTTGCACCTACCTATCGGGAGCGACCCGAACGACCCATTCGCCGCGGCTGGAATGACCTCTCAAAAACATAGCCAGAGCAGGTATCACAGCAGGAGCGGCGACGGTGGCGCTGCCGACGGTGGCAGTCCGCTTGGCGGTCCGTCCACCGCGCCCACACATGCGCTGTTTTTCTCGCTCGGTGTGAGCCCCGCGGAGAGGCTGCGTGCGGTGCCCGGTGTGGTTAACGCCCTGACAAACGATACCAACTCCCCCCTTTGGTGCCAGCTACGACGGCTACTACACGCCACGAGTGTTTTCATTCGTCGAGGGGTGAGTGCCGTGGAGGCTACGAGCGAGGTCTGCCAGCTCTACAACGGATTTGTCATGTCGGTATACCGTCGGGTGCGGCGTCAGACGCGGTATTTGAGGCATCTTGCGCAGGTCCACAGCCATGCCCATCGTTCGCCCGTGGAGCTGGCGGGCGAGGGGGATCGAGGCAGCCCCAGAGACGGCGCCTCCGCGACGATCGACGATGATGAAGACGAGATCGAGGGCCCTTTGCCGTCGGAGCACGTTTGGACTCGTAGCACGATCGACAGCTTTGTCGAACTGATGGCCCCGGTTCTGATGCCCGCCCTGCATCTCCATCTGAGTGGTGTTAATAAATCCATAGCTTTGCTTATTTCTCTTTCGCCGGCGCAGATGCTGCCGCACGTGCAGAAGTACATCAGCACGGCCCTTCACACGCCCACCGATATAGAGCAGCAGCGCGCGCGCGTTCTACGGCTCCTTAACGCGGCGGCCTACCCCATGCTTGGCAATCAGCAGACGCAGGAGTACTTCATCGAGTACCTCAGCGAGTCGCTGCCACAATTTGTGTGTTGGATCGGCCCGAGTACCCCGCACGTGACGCCGAACCTCATTCACGTCTTGTTCAACGTCGCCGCAGTGATACCGCTGCACCGACTCTTTCCGACCCCAGAGATGGAGTGTGAGGTGATGGTGCGCTTCTTTGAGCAGGTGGCCTCCGTATGTGAGGAAAAGCGCGACGAGATGGATATGGGCATGCTTAGTTGCGCCCACACCATTCTGCAGACGCTCTCGGAGGAGGCCTACAGTTGTGTCGTGAATCGTCTCTTCCGGTACGTTGAGGACCAGAGCTCCGGACTTTGCAAGATTTGCTTACTCACTGCCGTCGGACGGAAAGGGGCGGCGCGTTTGATTGCCTTCGCCAAGCGTATCGCCGTACCGGTGATCCTGAGTAGAGGCAACAACGACGCCGTCACTTCGTGGGCGACGCGTGTGCTGTGCGCGTGCATCTCTGGCGCCGGCCGCAATGCCGTGTTCGCGGAGTCGAAGCTGATTGTGCAGTGCATTAACGCGCTCATTTCGCATATCACGAGCATCCGCCGGCTGGGCGACGCGCGGCTGCTGTTTGTGAACCTCGCTGATGTGCTTCTGCGCTACGAATGCACGGTATCACCCTCACACGATGACAACGGCGACACGGCCTCGTCTGCGTCGCGCGGCGCCGGTTGGGCGAGCGCGGCAGCGCCGTGGCTTGACGAAATCGACCCCGATCTCGCCGTCGGGGAGCGCTTCCTGCGGGGCCTCGGCTTCCGCGATGGCCGCGACGTCCGTCTCCGCTGGTCCGGCCCTGCCGCCCACCACGTCGGATTCCTGATGGACCTCTGTGATGACTTCCTCGGGGACGCGATGAGGGTGGTTGAGGGGGTGCGCCACGTGGGCCCCTCTGTGGACCCCTGCAGTGGACTCCTGGGGCTGCTCCCGCAATCGGTGCGGGAGGCTGAGGGGGCGGACCCCGACGGGGTCGACCCTAAAGCCGACCACACTAACTTCGAGGACGGGAGTGAGAGCGCGGAGGAGTTTACCCCACATAACGTCCTGCACGGCTGTGCGACGTGGATGCGGTACGTTTATTTAACCTGTGTGCCACTCTACTACGACGGTACGGATGGCTTCAAGGGGGAGGGGGCGGGGGCTCCACGGCGGCGGTCCGGTGCGTCTCACCTTTACGATGTACCGGTCACCTCCGTGCGTGTGCTAGAGGATACGGCGTGGACGGAGCACAACGTGGCGTGGTGCCCATATTGGTTCCTTTCAGAGCGGTGTGCTTTGCCCTTGCCGCGGCCAACCGTCCCGTTCTCGAATGCATCCGCTAACGTGTCGCCTCGTCGATTAAAGTATGACCGTACGATGCTGTTTGAGTTTGTTTGCAAGCACATGCTGCGAAGATTTTGCGGGGACCCTGCTGCTGAGCTCAAGAGAGCTTTTGACGCCAGGGCTGTCGAGGTGTTTGACCTGGACCTCCTCGTCAGCGGTGAGCCCCCATTGGATGCGAAGAGGGGCGATCAGGGTGACACTCGAGCGCTGGAGGGCGTCTTGAGCTTTTTGATCGCTCTCACGAGTCTATTATCCAATAAAGCCTTCTCGCACGCGCTTAGATTTGAAGGTAGAGCCTACATGCTTGAGATCGAGCTCAATTATCACGAAAAGATTCGCCATGTACAGTTGTTTCCGGCGGAATATTGGGCTCATCGCGCGATGCACGTAGTCAGCACCTACGTGCCGTCCGCACACCACCTCTCGTGCTCTGTCGACATGTGCCAAAAGCTCCTCAATGTGACCCACCTACTTTGTTTTTTTCAGCCCCGCGGTCGGGTGCGAAGCTTTTGTGATACCCTTTTCACTTGTATGCTTCGAATCCTCACGCCCCCCTTGCGGCGCGTGTTTTATGCCTGTCACCTAAATGCCGTCAACAGGCTCACAGAGTTGTGGTCGCGAAAGATCGCCGGGAGTGATGAAGGGGTGCGGCTATCGCTTGAGGCGCTCGCCTCTCCGCCCACGTGCACAGGGCCCGCTGAGAGTTCCGTATTGCCGCTTGAGGATGGAAAAGCACGTCTAGGTGAGAAGGAGAGCCCATGCAGCGACGCTGAGGACGACACCCGACAGCGGGGGGATACCTTTCGCACAGCAGAGGCCCGAGAGGTGGTCGACAGCGGCATGCAGTTTGCCCTTTTGTTCTTCCAAAATCACCGATCTTTTGAAAATTCGGATATTCTTTATCACATTATTCGATCCTTTTCTCTCTGTCCGGATCAGTTGCTTGGGCTTTCTGTGAAGAACTGCTTACAACATCTCGTTGCGGTTTTGTTTAGCATGGTGCCATATGCCGACCGGCGGACTACTCATTGGCTTGTCGAAGAGATGATTTTTCTGGCATCTCGCCTCGCGGCGGTGTCGCCGACGCGCGCCTCTGCATGTATGTGTATCGCCTTTCTGATGTACCATCCCCATGGTGATGAGCCGTGGCGTGTGCTATCCACAAGGGCGGTTCAGGTGCTCTTTAAGCTCAGCACGAATCCGCTCCACAGACTGTGCGCGGCATCCATAAATTTTTTAGTGGTCGTCTTTCGAGGTGTTTGTGGGCCATCAAGCGGGACCACTCACGTACTTATGAGCCGCTCTCGTACGTGTCTTCTAGGCTCGGGGGGTGGCCCTTTGCAGCGTGCGGACGGCGACGAAGGCGACTCCGCCTTAGAACCTAAATTATCGCATCTGGATGGGAATCCTCCACACAGTGCATCCGATGTCTTTGAGAACCCCGATAACCAGCGAGAGGATGTGGAATTTTTCAAGCGTCGTTATACAAAGTTACGGCAGTGGGTTCCGTTTTTCCGCGTGGGGGAGGGCGGGCAATACTTTATCCCAATCCACATCACCGTGCCCGTAGAGCGCGAGTGCTTTCCAAGCAACTTCTTTGAAGGGGACGACAGGCCGTTTGCGTGTACTAATGGTGATTGTGACTGTGGGTCTGTGCATTGCGATGTTCTACAGAGGCGCCATTTCGTCGAGACGTGTCAATGTGATCGTAGGACTGTTCTTTGTCTTTGGGGCCGTGCGATCGCGGTCTATTCCGGGTTGACATCGCAGTCCGTTGAAAGCAGTGACCCGCACGAGAGGAAAGATAAACTCCACGAAGGGAACACCAGTCTTGATGTTCGGGAGCCTCAGCTTCCTACCAGCGTCCAGGAGGGCGGTGATGGTGTGACTGCCGCTGCGCGTATCCGGGGTTCGTGGGTATGGGCCGCGTTGGGCTGTCTCAGGGAACTGAATGATTACGCCCACCGAAGCTTTTTAGCGACCAAGATGTGGGTTCTGCTTGGGCGCGTGGTTGGGTACGAACGCTGTCTTCGCCATTACGTCCTCGTGGTGCGCCTTCAACGCGACGAACTCACAGAGAAGCTTCATCGCAAGGACCAAACCGCGAAGGAGTCTACCCAGGGCCAATTTGCCGTCCTCATGGACCTATGCTTAGCTTGCCTACAACTCAGCAAGGAGTATGTGCTGCGCGAGTGGGCTATTAACGCATCCAGCGTGGTTCATGACAGCCTCCAAATACCATCGCCGCAGCTTCATGCGGATCCTTCTCCTCCCGCAGAATTTATGCCGATTCCTGAAACTAGCGCCACCGCAAAGGATCTCCGCATGCTCACGTTGCAGTGCTATGTCGACACACTTCTCTACACTTGCCAGCGGAGTGTCCCAAATGAGGTGTCGCGCGTTGCAGCCGCTACTTTTGGTAGGCTGGGCAGCTCCCTGAGTATGGGGGAGACATGGTGGCTGTTGGAGGCCTTGCTGAGTAGCCTGACCATCGCTACCAATGATGAGAACCATGAGGCGTCGTGTGAGGATGTTTTTTCATCCTCACCACTGAACCGAGGTAAGCGAGAGAGCTTCTTGTGTGCCGTATCGGCTCCGAACACAACCAAAGTGAGCGCGAACATGCAGAAAACCGTGCGCATCATGACGTACCTTAGCCAGATTGTGCGCAATACTGAGCCTGAGTGGACTGGGGAACTACTCGAGAAGTTGACGCAGTCCATTCGCGTGAACCAGGGGTTGTTCTTCAGCTCCACCACGTCGTACTCCGGCTTCTGGGCGGCGAGTGTACCGCGGCTGCTGTTACGCTGGTGCCTGAATCAAGGTAGCATCATTCCCGGCAACTATCGCTTGCTTAAGGATTTATCAGAGTTCGCGCTGGAAATTATTTATTGGGTCCCGATCTCATCCTTTACCAACTCCACGTTGTTGTTGGGATCTGCGTCCTCCACCTCGAGCGGTCAGGATGAGGACAAAGACGAGGCCGCGCACGACCCACAGCCCGCCAGCACAGGGATCAGTGCCGGCCCCGGACAGGACCCTTGCACCACCACCACCAACACAACGACGACGACGACCACCACCACCACCACCACTACTATCATCACAACGACCTCAAAGCCACAAGGTGTGAGGACTTTGAGCACCTCGTGGCCTCCGACGCCCATCTTAAGCTCCATAGGGGTCCCGAGCAGCGCCATCGACACGGCTTTTCTGACCCCGGCGTTCCTTCCCCGGGCCCACGACCCCCTTGAGCGGGAGAAGACCTTCCTCGAGGGCGTCCCCCCAGCGTTGCAGCTCCCTCGAGTTGACAACCTGCGCCCCGTGAGCGTGGAAAAGACGGGCTCCCGGGGCGTTCTACCGACTCCTTCCCTCATGCCTGTGCCATCGCCCGCGGGCGTGGTGACGGCTGCCACTGGAAGCCACTCCCCGTCGATGGTCGCGCCGAATTTCCCTTCGCCATCACTGCTGCCAACCCCGATGGTGGGCCTCGGCGTGCCGCCAGGGCCTGACGTGTTGGCGCCGCAACCCTTCACTGCCGCGACCCCTTTGCTCGGGGCCGAGGAACTCAACGCGGCAGCCCTCGCACCGATCAAGACTGTTCTCTTCTGCTTTCAGTCCCCACCCGCGGTGCTGGTGGAAAGCTGTGCGCGGCCGCTGCTGACGTTCCTTATCGCCGCCTTGAACCTTTCCTTCGTCAAGGTTGACAACCTCCACAGCATCGCCGAAAGCGTCTTGGCGAGCATCGTGAACCTGCGTCTGCCCAAACATGTCGTGCACGCGTTGCTCCACATGTTGTGTGACGCGCTGGTTGGTCAGGCCCCCGACTGCGTTTGCTCCCACAGGTGCCGGAGCGTCCTCACGCAGGCGCTCTGTGTGCTCATCTTCAATAACACCCACCGCATTGGGAAGTATGCAGTGATGCAGCGCGTCGCTGAGGCTGTGGTGCAGACAATAGGCTGCAAGGATGGTCGTCTACGGGCCCAGGGCTTTCACCTCTTTGCCGTGCTCACTAAGGTCGCGTCTACGGAGCAGACCTTTGCGCTGCTCCAGATGTACGCCAAGGAGTTGAGGGGCTACTCGTTTCCCAACCCAGGCGGGGATGGGCTGCGAGCTGCCGTACCCAACTCCCTGCCTGACGTGGGCTCCGAAAACGAGGGTGGCGCTGCAGTTCCTGCAGGCATGATTTCTGGAAAGCGGCGGTACGTGGCGCTGGTTCTGCTCCAATGCGCAGCCCTTTCTGCCGACCCGGGTACAATTCCAGCGTACATTCCAAAACTGATGGAGCGTCTCGCACTGTACTCGCGAAGCCCCATAGTCGAGGTGCAACGTGCCGTTAAGAAGTCATTCGAGGCATGGTGGCGCTCACATCGCGAGGGTTGGGAGATGGAGTATAAGAGTTGTTTCACTGCATCCCAGTTGGAGGCGATATCGACATTGTTGATGACACCCACCTACTACGTGTGATTCTCTGGAATGTGGGTTGGGGTCTTGGCGCGCGTGCACAGTGGAGGGATGGTGATACAGAAATATGCACAAAAGGTGAGCGGCAGTAAGGGCTACTCCGCACGATCTACGGGTCGGAGGCGTGATGGATGTGATGGGTAGGGTAATTCATGGTAATTTTTATAAGGTGTAGTGGGGGTCGGCATGTTGAAAGTCACCGTTGGCTATGAGTCTCAAGCGTGTGCCTGATGAGAGTGAATGAGGAGGGTGGAAGAACCGAAAGAATAATACAGGTGATGCATAATCGACGCCAGATGGGAGAATGTTTGCATGTTGAAATGGGGGGAAGTCTCGTTTTTTTTTTGTGTTTCATACTTCTCCACGTGCCGGATCGAGGTTTCCATTTGATCAAAGCGTGCCTTTGCGTCTTTCCTCTGTCTCTTTTCTGTTCTCGAAATCCTTGCAACCTTTGTGGTACTTTTTCCTGTTGGTGTCACATGGAGAAGGGGATTCCCTCTCTTGGGTGAATCATATAACCGTAGAGATGGAAATAAGAGAGCTCAAGAGAGTGGGGGGAAAGAATATATATGCGTATTCAAACAAAGGTCTACGTTTTGATAGACGTCGGGATGCATTTCATCATTTCTTCCCTTTCTTTTGCTATTGGATCTATTCCCCTTGGTAATAGTTTTCATAATAACTAAAATAAACTGACTCTCATTTTGATATGCTAACCTATGCATTACTACTCTTTTAGTGTGTTTCCTCGATGAAAGGGGGATGCAGCGATTGGGACACCCCTCCTATGGGACGAGGAAATACTCAGATAGGAATATCAACCATTGCGCCTTATTTTCCACCTCATTTTTTATTTGTCCCTTTTCCTTAGTATTGGCGTGTTTGACAAACTAGTTTTTTTTTCATTAGTTTCTTCCATTCTTTGTGTATTCTGCTGAAAAACGTAATCACATACGCATTGCTTTCATAAAACAGGAAAGCCAACTGTAGCTGGATTTTCATGATTGAAACAGTTTTGCGTACCTTATACATTAGATAGATAAGAACTAAAAAGACCAGGGGTGGGTAGAGGTCAAGGTCATACTAAAGTATCTACAGCTTCAAATCTTAATCAGTCTAAAACATTGAACACACACAAAAATTATATATATATATATATATATATTTACAAAGCGATTGTTGTAGTGTGAGTTGAAAGGTTTATATAGATATTTTTTCCCAATTCATATTTTTTTTAATGTTCTGAAGGTGTTTCTTATTTATCTGGTATACGCCCTGTTTGTAAGTATAGTTATTGTTTCCCACGACTGTTGCCCTGCCCACAGTTCTGTCTTGCCATTCTTAAGCTTTGCAAACGTTTATCGTTATATAGTGGGTATTACTTTGCCACTTCTGATAATAATTATTAGTATTAACTCTCTCTAACCGAAACCCCTGCACAATAAGTAAATTATTCAAAAGAAAGGAAGTTTGTGTGCTTTCGTCTCTTTCTCTTTTTTAGGGAGGGGTGGGGGGGGGTCACCAGAAAAATGGGAACGGATAAGACATCAGATTCTGTTGTGGATGAATCTTCAAGGCGACCTTTTTCATCACATCACAGTACCCTGCGAGAGCGTATGACTTTGGATAACCCATCGGTAAAGCATTTACTTCTTCTTGCAACACGACTTAAAGATGCGCTCAGCACTTGCACTAAAACTTTGCCGGGATTTTACAAATCTCTTGAGGGTATCATCGAGAACCTTAACCTGCTTCTACGCGGTCAAATGGGCGAGCATCCCGACTATACTCCGCAACTCATCTTCACCGGACCTCCGGACGTGAACAAGGGTGCACCACTTCATCTCATGTTACCAAAGCACTTTGATGGTGGGGGTCACCCTCACCAGGAGGACGTCCCTGTCGTGCAGGAGGGGGGGGAGGGGGTTGCCTCTCCCCCTCCCCCCAAGGCGCAACGGATCCTCAGCGATGTCCCTCCCACCGTGCACCCTTCTGGCCCGATGTCTGCGGTAGAGGCGCCGGAGCCGACGGAGGAGTGGGTCGGCTCCGGCGCCCACCCGCGCAGGCAGCTGTTTTTGCCGTTTATCGGCTCCTCCGAAGCGATGCCACTGTCTCCCCCGCCACCGCAACAGCCGACGATGACGACGTCAGACCGCGGAGGCTCTGCCGGTGGGGGCTGCTTCAAACGTGCTTCAACAGCAGGTACGGTGGAGCCCTCGGTGTTGCCTCTGCTCCGCGATCCCGGGCAGGTGCATATTTTGCCGGCGCGAGATCAGGCATCGCCCCTAGCGCATGACAGCACTTCGGCAAGTGAGAAATACCACGACAAAGGCCAGAAAGAAAGGTTATTTCGCACCCCAAGTAGCATCCTAACCATGCGCAACCGAGATGGCATTGACGTCGTGGCTTCACGCTGCTCCTCTCGCATTGCTAAGACGCCCGGGCATTTAGGTCCGGTAACTGCCGTTGATACGGCTGGGAACACATTCTCACGGTCTTTGACTCATCACAGAAGGTCGCAGATCTCCTCTTTAGTGCCAGAAGTCGTGATGAGCGACGAAGATTATGGTTCCCAGCGCGGCACCAACGGTGAGGGCAGGGGGAGGGTCGAAATTTTTTCACTTGAGCATGTCGCAAACACCTCCACGACGAAGTATATGCCTTTTGTCTCCCTGGTGGATCCATTGCTGCACCACAGTCGCGATATACATTTAAAGGTCTCTTTACCCCGGCCGTCGTCCAATTTGAGTACTTGTTCCCATACCTCCTTCTTGACGGGCGCCTCGGAGTTTGTGAATGGGATGGACGGGGCCGCAGCTAGGGTCCTGCCACATCCCCCGCCCTTCTCTCATGGTGGTGCTGAACAGGCCGCGTCTGCGGGCACGTCGTCCTTCCGCAATGCATACCGGCGACACTTTAGTCCTGCTTACACCCATACCGGGGGTGCTAATACGCTTTTTAAGGATGTCATCACCACCGTGTTCAAAAACGCGCCTGACATTACTTCTGCTATTAATGCTACTGGCACTATAAACGTTACTTCAAAGGCGACGAGCCCTCTTGTTGATGGGGCCAAAATCACGGAGAATGCGTGTGGCGTCAATGAGGGTGAAAAAGACATGGGGGGTGACACATCTGCAACCCCCCCGCGCGATTTTCATTCCAAACGTTGGGTGATTCAAGAAATTAGTGAGAGTGTCGTTAGCACGGATGACCAAATCATGGCAGTGTCTTTCCATTCGAGCCAGCCCTACATTCCGGTGACCGTGTATGGGGATGCTTTTTGTATTTGCATCCCTTGCTCCAGAATTGGCCACCCTACACTATCAGCAGCCATGTCGTTTCTATTCGGCCCTTATTCACCCCCTGCCATGCAGGAGCCTGGCGAGATGGTTGGCTCCAGCACCCATTTTGGTGGACGGCGTCACGAGCGCGGTACATCTGTCTGCATTAACCCCCACCCAAGCACCTGCTCGTGGGGTAACCGAGCGTGCAAGTGCCCCATGCAGGACGCGAGCGGCGACGGGGTTCCATGTTCGAGATCCCCTCAGTCGAGCGCGAGACGCGCCACAGAGTTCGAGAATTTGGACGGTGAAGCCACGGGGGAGCGGCTGATGCAAAATTCACCTTTGCGGAGTGCAATGCGTCGTCATTGTGGCAGTCGGGCCATATCCTCCGAGATGGGCACGGCCGAATCCACGACGAGGGGTCTCGCAAAGTCCTCTAAGGACTCAGATCTCCACCTGCGGCTCCGGCAGGCACTCTCCTCCCATGCCTTCTTCGTGTTGACAGGTGTTGACGTCGCTTATGATGAGGGGAACAGTGCCGGACTGAACACTAGCACAGGAGATATTGGAAAAGGCTCGCCGGAGGTATTCAACGACGCAAGCGGAGCGCCCACGGTAGTAACCCCAAAGAGGGATGATTCACATGAAAGGAGCGGGCCCCCGACCACCTCGACTCTGAGACCAAGCTGTGTGAGCATCCCAAAATTGGTACGACAATACCAGGAGCAAATGAGGGAACTCTATGGTGTGCATATCCGCGCCAGTCAAATCATTCCGCTAAGCACTAAGCGTAGCCCTCCAGTATGGGATTTGCTTTGGTCTGCTTACTGCGCAAAGAGGCCTTTGAAAGAGGCATCATTGAATCCGTGGTTTGCTTTCGAGCTGCCGTCGTATCCGCTGTTTGAGGATGTTCCTTCCTCAAACGCCTCTAACAACTGCTCCCCTGGGCTGGTATATGTCCCATTAAAGCAACCTTTAGGCACAAAACCATTGGCGGAGGTGGGAACGAGAAATTCCGGGAGTTTGGACTGTCGCGAGACTCATGCTAGTCTGAGCAGGAGGTGTGATTCGTGTGATGATGTTACACCGTTACCTGCGCTGTCACGGGCTTTTGCGAGGAATGGCATACTTAGCTCATCCCATTTCTTTAGTAGTTCGGGCTCGCTATCACGCAAACCCTCTCAGTGGAGCAGCGTGAAAGAGGTGCCTTTTAGTCTTGCAGCTGCGGTTCAGCGGTACTTGATGGAGATGCGTGATACAATACCACCTCCACCGCACTCGAAGCTCCCATCACTCGACTACAACTCCGACGAGGACGGAGAGCAACCACTGTTCTTCGAGGATCTGGCGTTTGTGACCTCGTACCCATCCTCCTCCTCGCAACGTGCGGCATTGTCTAACATGCCGTTCGCGAAACTCAACGTGAACGACGACTTTGTGCAAAGTCTCCTCCACCACGCCTACGATGCGGTGTTGCGCCGCAGCGGCGTAGTGGATCTGCAGCGGTGCATTAATCACTTTGAGGAGTTCGCCCACGAATACGCCATATCCAAAGTATTCCTTATGCTTGCTATGTGGTCCGCGCAGCTAATCGCGCTTCTACGTGGCTCTCTCGCCACAGCAGTCCAGCAACACCAGAGACAGCAACAGAAACTTGCATTATCGCAAGACAAATACAAAAATTTGAGGGCAGTCATCTGCAAAGCCGTACAACAGCTTTCGCCGGATCGATGTGTGGCCGCGGTAGAGCAGCGTTTGCAACACTTCTTCTCAAATCTAACCCAATGTTTTCTGCTAGAAGTACGTGTGATGATCGTTCTCCAAAAAAAAGCGTTCAAATCATTTTTGAATGCTTCGGCTGAAGTCGATACGGCGCTCGACCGTCTCTGGGAGAGCTTTATACAGTTCAGAACTCTTTATATCGAAGGTGATTGGGAACGCCGCCATTATTCGCTGCGGCATGAGCTGCGGTGCGCGACTTCAGATTACGAGCACCATTTAGCGAGTCGTCAAAAGAGCGTCGAGTCTCAGTTGGGAGGGAGCCCTGAAGGCGACACCGCATCCCCCTCAACAGCGCCACCCCACGATGAGCGCCGCGCTAACAACGACGAGGTACGTTGTCGAAAGCACATCGTCGAACTCCGGGCTCGCCGCCGCCGTCACGAGTACCACTTGCTCGTTCAACTTTCTCAGCTAAACACGGAGCTGATTAACACCTTCACTGCGATCTGCGCCGCGCGGCTTCCAGGGATGTTGAGATGTCTCCAGGAGGAGGTAGGAGTTGTGAAGCACCTCTATACCAAGGTAGTCGAGGATGCGGCGAGGTTATGCCCCACTGCATCCAACCAGCTGCCTTCGATTGAAATGCTGAATACACCGCTGTTGGTTGGCCCCTTTCTTCAAAGCAAGACGCAACTGGAAAAATTTTTATTTGGGCTGCGTAAGGCCCTATGTGAGGACCAGATCCGTTCCTTGGCGACGGTTCAACACAAGGTCGATTCTATCCCACCCATGGGTGCCGAAGAGGATGGGTCGGACTGCTTGCTGTTGCGCAAGAACACCGTCGCGCCGGAGGGGCGGGTGTCCAGCCCCGGCTCGCGAGGCCAGCTGCAGGGTGATCCCACTTTTCACGGGGACGCTGCCATGCATGCATTGTTTTCGCCCTCTCCGGAAAGCGAGCTTAGTGTTTCCCCTCCCCTGGGTAGCAAAAGTGCTGGGAGGGTGGATAGCGCGCCGGGAGCGGCCCTGTCAAGGGCCGGCCACGATCGAGTTGGGCTCACCGCGGAGGATATTTTTCTGCACCCCAACCCGCCCGCGGTCCCTTCTGCCGAGCCCGCTCCGTCGTCGTCAGCCCAATCCGCC